GCTAAGAAGGTGCTTTCAGTTGCTGTGTACAATCATTATAAGAGAATATATAATAATATCCCAGCTAATCTGAGACAGCAAGCAGAAGTTGAGAAGCAGACATCATTAACACCTAGAGGTTAGTGTTTTTGATAATTGACCTAAATTGAGATTAATATGCTTAGAAGTAATCTTTATTTGTACTCCTCAATTTTGTCTTAAAATCCTTTTCGTATAGTGCAGAATTTTTCAAAGTGGAGGTCACTTCCCATTAGTGGGTCATGAAATCGCTTTGGTAGGCTGCCAAGAGCATTTCTTTGAAAAAAATTCAATAGGTGTGCATAGAAAATAACCAGAGTACATTAACTTGTAGTTAAGGTAAATATTGTTTCTTAAAACTTTTGTTTTCAGTTATATGTGCATGGGTTCTGAATCACAAAGTAAAATGTATTCCTTGTTGAGTATCTCAGTAAAAAATGTTTGAAAGCCACTGGGGTAGAGACTGAGACGTCACCTTTGAATTATAGACTTCACCACTAGTTCCCCATGAATAGATCATTGCAATGCTCTGTACAACTGTGAGTTCTTCTCTTTTGGGTTCAGGATACAGAATTTCATTTGCCTATGTCAGAGATGTGTAGAAATGCTAACTTTAATATAACATATCCAACAATCTTTCTTCTTTGGGCCCTAGCTACAGAGTGCAAGGTTAAGGGTAAATTTCTAAGTGATTCAAAGTGTAATTCCTATTAATGATAGATCCTAATATACCAATATACTGTAATCTCAACTTACTGTGGTCAGTAATATGTGTTAATTAATAGAGTGATTTTATAAAAGAAATCTATGAATAAGTAAAATGTAAATATTTTAAGTTTTCATTTTGTTGACCAGAGAGAGTCCTGATTTCTGATTTAGGCCTACAATCCATTTTAGATTCTTCTAGTCATCATTGTACAATTTGAAAGAGTTTTGCTAAATCCTTAAATTTATAAAACTACAATATCTTTTGATTGTCTTTAGTAGCTATGAATATATAACTGATTTCAATGAAGATACTTTGTTCATTTGCTGTACTTACTGCAAAATGGTTATGCGATAGTATCAGTTACTTTATTTTT